GGGCATGAAGGGAGGGCTAGGAATGGGGAAAAAATAAGAACCAAGATGCATTATGTAAAGGTACAATTCCCAGTGAGAAATGTAACTGTGTTGTATACCTACAATGTACCAATAAAAGAATTTAATACAAAGAAAATTATATTATTTATATTACATTGTCATATATAATTGATATTGGCTATTGTACATTTATCTCTTCTTAATTTCTGATAGAAATGTTTATAGGTTTCATTGTACAAATCTTTGGTTAAATTTAATTTCTATTTAGTTCTTTTGAGGCTACTGTAAATGAATTTTTTTCTTCATTTCATGTTGGGATTATTCATTGCTAGTATAAATACTGTAAAAATGCCTAACTGCTTCCTTTGTGTGAACTTGAGATCCTGAGTTCTTTATTAGTTCTAACAAGATTTTTTTTTAGACTCCTTAGAGTTTTCTCCATAGATCATTTCATTTATGAACAGAGGTAATCTAACTTCTTCCTTTTATTTTTTTCTCATTGAATTTGCTCTTGTCGGGACTTCCAGTGATGAATTCATTGGAGATGGCAGAGATAGGCATCCTTGCCTTCTTCCTAACTTTAGAGGAAAGATTTCAGCCTCTCATCCCTGAGTATGATGTTTGCCATTGTTTCTTCATATGCAGCTTTTTATGTCAAAGGATTTCCTTCTATTTCTAGTTATTGAATATTTTTATCATGAAAAGGTGTTAAATGTTATCAGATGCTTTTCTGGCATCAGCTGAAATGATCATATTGTTTTTCCCTTTGTTCTGTGTTTGCAGCACCATTGTATCCTCCACTTCCAGCTCAGTGTCTACATATATAAGCAGAACTGGCAACATTTAGTAGCACGTGTACCAGGTACTGTTCTAAGTACTTTGCCCAGATCCTTCTCGTTTACAGCTCACAAAAAGTTTATGAGGAAAATTATTCACTATCCTTTATTGATAAGTAAACTGCAGCATACCTAAGTTGGGCATGAACATTTAACTATAAGAGACAGAGCTTGTTTCTACCCCAGGAAGGCTAACTGAAGAGGCTATGTACTGACTGCTGCACTGTACTCAACACTGTGTGTGTCTGCAGAGCCAATGAATGAATGTATGAATGAATGAGTGGTAAGTGACCCCCTCCCCAGACATTTAGGTGCATCTCACACAGAAATAGAAGCCAGCCATGTGTGCTCCCTAAGGTACTCTTCAGCTCTAGGATCTCTGTGACTGGGGCATGAGAAGGGAAAGAAGCAATGCTGGTCCTAACTCCTGTCTGAGTTTCCAGGCTGAGCAGTCATAAAGGTCCAACCTCATCTCCCCCTGCACTATGAATCCTAGCCAGGGTTGTGTGAATGCCTCTGTGTCCTGCCAACCCACTTTCTGGAATGCCTCCCTGGTACAATTTCTCATATCCTGCTCACCTCTCAAATCCAGCTCAAATGTTGTTTTCTCCAGAGCCTCTTGCTAATCAAACCACTTCTTTTAAACCTCCCTCTTTGTAGTATTGAAAAAAGTAAAATTAAACCCCCAAATCTGAGGTAGAACAGCACACGGGCCCTGGAAGCACCTGGAGGTTACTGAAAGTCACTAACTTACAAGAACCAAAAGGCTTTGGGAGGAAGAACAACAAACAAGATGGTGCCCCTTGCACATAAGTTAAGTTCCTCATTCCCTGTGCCATCATAAAAATGATGTTCAGGGCTGTGGGTTTCCAATGAAAAGTATATTATACAGGAAGTGGCTCAGCTTAGCTGGTGAGTTCTTGGAAGCAAGGAAGGGAAGAGAAAGAAAGAAGTAGATTCCTGCCCGCGGTGAAGCAGAAATGCACATTCTGCCAGGAAAGTGTTGATAGGGCATTTCTGATCAGTTCCGGGATTCAGTCCCTAACTGGGAGTCATGGGGGAGGTATACAGAGAGTAAACATTTACATAAAAACACCTAAGACTCATAGTTTGCTCAGGAAAAGGCAAATATCCGTGGTTGTGAGCAAGATGAACAGGTTTACAGCCCTAACATGCAATATTTTTTGAGGTGGAATCTTTCTATGCTGCCAGGCTGGCCTCGAACACTTGGGATCAAGTGATCCTTCTGCTTCAACCACCCATGTAGCTAGGACTACAGGTGGGTCCCATTGAGCCTGGCTAAGATGCAATTTTTGATATGTGTATAATCCAGTTTTTGTACTCATTAAATCTATTAACAGAACTTTGGAGAAATAATATTGCTCCAAATTTCTGTTAGTATTGAGAAATCAGCATATGCTACCTGAAAATTAATTATCCAGGGGAATCCATCCAGGAATACATGAATTCTAGTGCATGTTACACATGATGAAATGGTAATGATGTCTTAGTACTTGTATATCATTTTACAGCTCACAGAGCACTTTCACATGCATTTTTTCATTGACTTTTCACAACACCTCTCACTCTTCCCTGGAGCCTTCTGCATTATGGACCCACAAGCAACACTGCAAGTTTCCCCTCAGTTTCAGAAACAGCAGAACTCTGCTTTCCTGGCCCTTAGATAGTGCTGTCATTGCAGACTAATAGCACATGACTACTTTATCTTAATGAGCACATCATAAGGTTGGGGAAAGACTCACTTTCAATTTCTCCAGTGAAAACTATGGATCTCAGGAAGGTCAGGAGACTTAATCTAGCAGCTTTGATCCACTCCTACTAGACACATTCTGCTTTGGAGTCTACACTGTAGTCATCCTCTCACGCTGTGTTATGGCTTAGATTTAAATTCCCCTATGTATGGAAGATGATTAGATCATGGGGCACTAATCAGCGTTTAGTCCTCTGATAAGTTCAGGGCTGACGCGCTGTTAGGACCTGGGGCCTGGTTAGAGGCAGGTAACTGGGAGTGTGGCCTGGAAGAGTGTATCTCCCTCCTCACTTCCTCCATTCTCGCTAGGCTTCCTGGCCATTATGGGTTGAGCACCTTTGTCTCTACCAAGCCCCTCTGCAATCATATTTCTGCCTTGGAGCCTGCCAACCACAGGCTGAAACTGTGAGCCAAAATAAACCTCTCCTTTTTAAGCTGTGGGTGTCAGGTATCGTGTCTCAGCAGCAGGATCATGACTAAGACACCAATCTGCACAGAAGAAACTTTACCTGAGAGTTCATCAGGCGAATGGTAGTTTTCGTGCCCACATCTTGTTGGAAGTTGGCTGTGGGTGCGCCATTAAACCTCAGGACTGCATCGTGATCATCTATAAACCACAAGGAAATAGAAAGAGGTGATGCATGAGTCCTGATGATATACAGACAGAGAGAAGGGCTGGGGAGAGGGGTAGAAAGAAAGGGAGGGAACAAGACAAAAATGCTTCCTGATTTATATCCCATTATGGTACAAGGGGAAAAGTTATATTTCTACGTTGCTCAGGTAGCGCTCAAAGACAGAAATGGCCGTCTGTCTGTCAGCCACTGCATGAGCTAATGGGGTCCAGATTGTGCATTCCTGAAACCCATTCAATGGCACCAGTGGCCAAGGTGCAGTAGAAAAGTGAACAAGGCCAGTGTGCAACTTGAGGAGGAATGGCTACTCCAGTCATCAAAGGAATAAACCAAATATGCTGCAGGTATCACCAGTAGTTATGTTTCTATCCCCATCAGAAAAATCAAGACAATGTCATACGCTCAGTCTACTCTACAAGTGCACAGTGCTTGGCAAATGGAAAGACTCACTATGGCATCCAAGATAACCATAAGCATTCATTTAGGAACCCAAAATACACAGAAGGGTCACAAACCTGGTGTGGTAGAAATGGAGCAAGAGATCATAGTGGTAAACTAAACACCGTGTTTCCTCATTTTTTAAAATAAGCACTTTGTCAGAAAAAAATATAAAGTATTAAATCCAATCACTATCAAACAGACTGTCTCGAAAACATCTAATTACTTCTTGGGCTCAATCTCCTTTTGGCCACTTAAGCAGAGTTTGAAAGATGGAGAAGGTTCTCTACTCACACCGACCAATCTGATGGATGAAGTGATGACCTCTAAGAACCATTCCAATCTGGGACCTTCATAATCCTATGACCGCTCAGCCCAACCTTCCTTGATCAAGCAAGTTGGGGCTCTACCAAAATCTCCACCAGATTTGAAGCTCAGCCCAATAATGTATTGCTCCATCTGCCTCCACATGGGTTTGTTTTGGCTGTTCTTTATCCACACAGATAGGATTGGGGGTGGGGACCAAAAGGCATTTGGTACAACACAAGATGATCTGGAAAGGGAGATTAAGGGATGAAATGCTCCCTCTTTATTCAATTCCAGCATAGGTACTAAACCTCACGCACGAGTCCTGGCACCCCATTCACAGAAACAACATAGCCTTATCCTCAGTCCTAGGATAGGACAAAATGTCACTGAAATGGTTTGAAAGTTACATAAGATGAACATAGTCCACATTTTTTCAGCTTAAGGGGCAGGCACACCGAAGTGCAAATAGGTCAGGAAGTACATCTTTGCACAACCCAGAATTACAACAAGCTTTGTCCTGGGAAATGCAGATTTATAGAAACTGCACTTAGCCAACTTTCTCATTTCATGATTGAAAAAAATTATTGTTGCAAATCTCTGTAGAAAGGAGATGAAAGCTCCAATGAAGCAACTAACAGTTTCATTAAAGGACTATTTACAAAGATTGAGTAGAGTTTAAGGAAATCAAGGCAGGGAAGGTTAAGACCCCAGGTCAGCTGCTGCGGAAAGCCATCACTACCTAGGTGGACTGTGGCACTTGAAGCAGACACTCCCCTACGCTAAGCGGGGGGCCACTGTCAGGAGCTGCAGACTTTAGGAGAGGAACACAGCTACTGCTACTATCCAACAGGCAAGAAAGGGCCTGAAGCAATCAATATCATAACCCCTTTCCCCTCTATCCCTCCAATCTCGTAGGCCTAAAGGGAAAAAGGAGAAAGCAGGCCCCAGGGACCAAGGGGCTGCCTGACAGGAGCTGAGACTCTGTCAAAGGGAAAGTCACAGCCTGAGCTTACACTGCAGGTGACATCCAGGAAACAACTGCCCTGATCTCATCTTCCTTCCCCTCAGCTTTATGCCTGTGCTTTTTCTTCTGGCCAGTTCCAACTGGAAGCCAAAGGGCACAGAATATCCACTGACATGGCCCAGAATGTCAAATTCCAGGCAAGAGAGCTGGATGGGAAAGAGAAGAGAGTAGAGTTGGAGGGGCTGATGAAGAAAACTTAGCATGGGAGATTTAAGATGGGTCTTCGATGCTGATCCACAGAAAGGAGGATCTTTCCATTCACTCAGCAAGTGCTGCTTGAGCAACTATTCTCTGCCAGGTGCAGATCTCAGCACCGGAGACAGTGGTGTGAGCAAGAAAGATGGACAAGGCCTTGCCCTCAGACATCTTACATTCTACTGCACTGAGAAATGGTAACTAAGTATGACCTGCATATGAAATAATCTGATCGGTACTATGACACAAATGAACTGAGCTGTGTGAAAGAAACACTGACATAATCTCCGGTAGACAGCGTGATGATTCATAGAATGTCTCAGAGCTGAGACCCTCAGAGCTGGATGATCAGGCATGGAAAGACCCCAGGGAAGCCCCTTCCAACCAGAGGATGCAACAAGTGTTAAGAGCACAGTGAGGGTAAGGACTTGGCTGGAGAGAAGTGAGTCAAAGGAAGAAAATCAAAGATACAGTTAAAGAGGTTGGCAGGAAACAGATCTTGCAGGGCTACAGAGTAAGAAAGCAGATCTTTCTCGAGTGGAAAGGAGACCAAGAGATGAAGGAAAGGAGGACAAAGGGGAAGGAAAGGAGAAGAAAACAGGAATTGAGATGTGTTATGTACAGGAAGAACTCCACACAAGGAAGGTAAACATTATGTGCTGCAAACATGTACTAATAAAAAATTTTATTAAAAAATCAAAGAAGAAAACTTCTTTCGAAAGCTATATGGAATCGTAAACAAAAGGGATTGGATCCTTGTTTGTCAACCCATCTTTTGCTAGTTAAAGTTGAAGAGCTTTCAAGCTCCAATGGGCCTCCAGGAAGCCACCCAGAGCAATCTGAAACCCAAGGGATGCTAGCAAACAAGTCTGGCAAGTAGGAAGGCTGCGGAGGACAGGAGCTCCCACCTCTCTTTAACTTTACCTTATGCATCACTGTGTGTAGCTGATTAATTACATGCTTAGAAAGTTGAATAGAAACAGCTCATTAGGAAATTCATACATACATACAAATCCACTGCTTCAGGTGTAGCAATTCTAAATAGCTAGAAGTTATGATCCAAGAAATTTTATCACAATTTATCACCTAACATTTTCATATTTTCAAATGAACTTCACAAATCATATAACCTCTCTCTGTCTCTCTGTTTTTTATTTTTTGGTGTGGTATTGGGGATTGAACCCAAGTGCTCCATCACTGAACCAAAGTCTCATCTCTCTTTAATCTTTTCATTTTAAGACAGGGTCTTGCTAAATTGCCTAGGGTGCCCAAAAGCCTGCAATCCTCCTGGCTCTGGGATTAGAGGTGTGCACCACTGCACCCGGCCCTCATTTTTGTCAATAAAGTTTTATTGGAATACAGCCAAGCCCATTCTTTACTACTGTTCTTTATGGTTGCTTTTGTACCACAGCAGCTGAGTTGAGTACTTATGACAGACACTGCGTGGCCCTCAAAACTAAAAATATTTTCCATCTTGCCTTTTACAAGAAAAGTTCTCTGACCTCTGCCATAACCAATCATGTTCTTCAAGCCACTCACTCTGCAGGTGACTTCTCTGTCCTCATTCTGCTCATCTATGTGTCCCAGACCTGCAGACATTGATGCCAATGGCTGCCATCCCCAGCTGCATCTCCCTTTGCCTTCTATCAGAGTGGCGTACACACCTGATTCTCCTCCAGCCCCTCTGCCCTCCTGAATTTTCTACTTGTCCTTGTTCTCAAAGTTTAAATCTGTTTCTAGGTTTTCTAATTGGCTGTCTTCCCTAGACAACAATATCACCTCACCTCAGTGCAAATGACCCCTAAAGTTGACCTTCAGATCTGATTCTTCTTCAGAATCAAACACTCAACCGCACAGACACCTACGGAGGGAAACCCACAAACACTTCAGACTCAGAGCACACAAAATGAAATCTCCCTTCCTCCAGAATCACGCTCCCCAGCGACACAACACAGCCTGGTCCTACGCTAAAAACTATGGCTCCTAACTGTCACTCGAGGTCATTTCTACGTCTTAGTCACTAAGTTCTGACCTTTCTAGCTCAGGATACTGCTCAAATCAGGCCCTTTCTCTCCACCACCGCTCCCAGTGCCACACAGCCTGGCACAGGACTTCTTAGCTGGATGTGGCAATGGTCGCTAATAATGGGGTAATTATACAGGAGCCCCCATGGAGACAGGACTCATAGAGAAATGGAAGAACTCCCCAAAGCACACACTATCCTATTGATTGCTCTCTTGCTCCAAAACCTCTAGGGCTCTCTGTAGCTTAAAGAACAACACCCAACATCTTTATGGTGACTGTTAACATTCTCTAAGAGCTGAACCTTCATTCCCATTCTGGCCCCATTGTTCACCTTTCTTTGCCCTCTGGGCCCCCCTGTCCAGCCAAAGAGGATGCTGGGATGCCCAAACACACTAACCACTTTTCCCTCTGTAGCCCTTGCTTCTTGCCTTTGCCTCAACTCAGAATGCTCCTCTCCTTTGCCCTAGGAAAACAACAAAAGATTAATCCTACCACATTTTGTTATGAAGCTGCAACCATTATGAGGCACAAGAGCTAAGCAGCAGAGCCGGGGATGTAGCTCAGTGGCACCGCAACTGCCTCACAAGTACAAGGTCCTGAGTTCGATCCCAAGTACCAAAAAAAGAGCTAAGCAGGGAGGGCTATGAGTCAAACAACAACTTCCAAACCCTAGTCTGCTCTCCATAGTTGTGTGAACCTCCAAGACTCTAGTTAGCTCATCACAAATGGCAACAGTGATCTGACCCCGCTCGGGAGAACTCAAAGAATAACTGCATTCGATACACAGCAGGTGCACAGTAAGGGTCACTGCTTTTTGCTATAGTGTTTTTTAAAATGTGCTATCATTGGAAATGAAATTCCCAACAAATGTTAAGATACTCTCTATGCATAAGTAAGCTACCAAAAATAATTGAAAATTACCAAGTCCACCACTGGCTGGTTTGTGAAACTGTGGGAGGCACATTATGCATACATTATACACTTTCTCTGGTAAACGGTCTTGCCATGGCTGAAAACATAGTCATAAAATTTATCTTCTTTAAAGAGACAGGATATATCATGTACAGGTGCAAATTCCCTGTGATGGATGTTATCATTATGTATATGTAAAATGTACCAATAAATGTTTTGCTTAAAAAAATAAAAAGAGAAAGAAAAGTCAAAGATCACCATGCATGAGGCTCTAGGTTTGATCTCAAACCTAGAAGGAAAAAAAAGACAAAGATTATTACACAAAAAAGATTCAAATTCAAGCAGTTCTGGATGAGGGGAAGTCACTTGCTTATTAATGTGAACAATTTGCTTAACTGCAACTTATAATAAGAGAAATGCAAATTAAGAATGCATTGAGATGCCAGGGCATGGTGTGAACACCTATAATTCCACCAATCAGGAGGCTGAGGCAGAAGGATTGCCACAAGTTCATCACTAGGCTACACGGTGAGTTCAAAGCCAGCCTAGGCTACATGGTGAAATCAAGGCCACCCTAAATTGTACAGTGAGACCCCTTCTCAAAAAAAAAATGCTTTGGGATACAATTTCAGACATATCAAACTGCCAAAAATCCAAAAGTTTGACAGTTAAATTGCCTGGCTGTCTTGTATACTATTGACAGGAGTTAATCACAGATGCATTTACCACTAGCCCCAGTGGGCTTACTTCTAGGAATCTACCCTGAAGCTAAATAAACACTGGACAACACACTCACAGGTTGGTAGGTGCAGAACTGTTTACAGTGGCAAGAGTTTGGAAATAACCTAAAGATTCACCAATAGAACTGACTTAATAAAGTACCCCTATGTTGAAGTGCATGTAATCATGGAAATGAATACGGAAGAGTTCTATGTCATGATAAGGGGTATTTCCAGTATATATTAAATGGGAAAATGGCACAACCTTATATATAAAATTCAATCTTTTATATAAGAAAGGAAGTAAAATTTAAAATATACACTGGACCCTTGAGTTACAACCGGAACAATTTGGGTTACAACTGGAATTTTAGTTCTAACTTATGACCAAAGTCTTGAGTTACAACCCAAATGCCAGCCACCTGTGCTTCCAGGTGGTCTCAGATACAGATTTAACCCTTAAAGAATTCTGGAAGGAACATGACAGCATCCTTTCCTGTGTGGGGTTAATTGAGAAATCCTGGGCCAGTGTCTCTCTAAGGACACTGAGATTTGCCTGTATACAGGAGAGAGACTTTGAAGGCTCTGCAGAGGAGGCTGAGCCTTCCACTGACCAACTTGAGTTACAACCAGCCCTTGCAAACAAATTGAGTTCGTAAGTCAAGGGTCCACTGTATAAATGATTTTTCCAAAAACTGTGGAAAGAGAGATCAGCAAGGGTTGGGGATTTAGCTCAGTGGTTTTGTTGCCTGCTGCTCAAGCACAAGGACCCGAGTTCAATCCCCGGTACCCAAAAAAAAAACAAAAGAGAGAGAGAGAACAGCAATAATCAGTTATAGAGAGGTAGAGAAAGGAGGAGGGAGAGAAGATATTCCTGAATATACCTTTTTATATAGTCTTGATTTTTGACCCATGTAAATGTTTTAAATGTTCAATAAATAGATTAAATTAAATCAAAAAAGAGGAAGAAACCTTAAAATTGAGAAGAAACCGAAACAAGCTTAATTCTATATCAAATGAGAAACATGCTCAGACAAAGCAAAAACTTATTTCAAGTGCCTTTTGGGAAGATATTTGGGTTGTATCTTCCTAAGTGGGATACAGCCTAACAACAAAAAAATCTACCCCAAGAATCTTCAAAGCTCATTTAGTATTTTGATTGTTGTAATCACGTGGTAATATTGCCACTGTAATTCTGAAGTCTTTTTATATATCTACTAGGGCCAAACAAATCTATTAATCTTTTAAAAATGTTTATCTTTTTTAAGGCTTCTAACCTCGTTCCTGAGGATATTTCCCTATTGGAGGATGGTAGTAATTTCATGAATTATCTGTATAAACCAGCTATGCTGACACATGCCTGTAATCCAAGTACTCTGGGAGGGTGAAGCAAGGAGATTATAAATTCAAGCCCATCCTGGATAATTTAGTGACTTAGTGAGACTTTGTCTCAAAATAAAAAATAAAAAGGGCTATGGATATAGCTCAATGTGAAGGCCCTGAGTTCAATCCCTAGTACCAAAAAAAAAAAAAAATATATATATATATATATATATATATATATATATATATATATCTGCACAATAAACCTTACTAGCAGTACAATTTGTATAACTAAATAATGTGAAACTACCTACATTTCAATTGTTGGGAACAGGCTCAAAAAATTTCTAGTGTGGTGGGAAGTCTATGGGCCTGGCATCTTGCCTGGAGCTCAAAAGGGCCATTCCCTTTAGTGTGCCAACTTCTTATTTTGTATTGTTGACAAATTCATCAATGAATAAAAAGAAATGAATGAATGTCTTAAAATATTTGCTAGACCAAATGCCCAGAGGGTATGCCCTATAAAATATAGAACACTTGAAGTTTAACCTGTAATTTTTATTATATCTCAAGATCAGAGTCTCTCCACGGTACTTATTTGAAGTTGCACCTGCAGTGTATAGAAAAAGATTATTTTAATGTACATTTATTTAAATCACTCAAACTTTTTAGGGAGTGCATAAAAATAAAGATGTAATAACAGTAGTTCACAAAGGGATGCTTGGTCTGCCTCAGACTTCAGCACACTTTCAGCCAGGCTGACCATAACGACTGGACAGGAAGCAAGCTGAGCTAACAGCTGGAACAGCCAAACATTGTCATGTTGCATCAAAAATGGAAAAGAAAGAAAGAAGCTTAGTTTTATTATAGATGAGCAAATCCAGTCCCATTTCATTTCTAGCAAACAGAGTCCAAAAGAAACTAAAAAGGCAAAAATCAAAGTTGGGGTAGGACTGGTCACCTTGGTAGCTCTTATTAGTAAGGATTGCTCATCTGGGGAGTTAGAAAATGTGATCTCACCACTTTTCCTTCTGCTATAGAGAATCCAGTTCACATCTACATTTCTTTGAGAGCATGTGCTTGGTTTCAGACCATTTTTCCTGGCAGTCATAAGAAGGAAATAAAAAAGGAGACATATGACCTCACCTGCTCCAATACCTCCATCCTGACAGAAGAGCAAGACTCCCTGTGCTCTGCTTTCTTTACTGCCAGATTCATTTCACAATAATGGAAAATGTATTTCTCTCAATACAAGAGAACTAAAGGCCCTTAAGCAAATCAGTGGCTCTTGGTTGGATTAGTTTACCAACACACATAGACTACCTTTATTAGCTGCGAAAGGACTTTCAGAAAAACAAAATTGATCTATTTTTCCCAGTATCTAAAATCTTATTTGGGTCACAGATTCCTCTGAGAATCAACTACAGTGTGTGGATTCTCCCCTGGAAAAAGGCACAGTTTATACACCTAATCCACAGATATTTTTGCTGGCAATTTTAAGGACTCATTAACCCCCTGAAATTAGCCCACAACCCCTAAGTTAAGAATTCCTGCTCTAATTAATTTTTTTCAAGGGAAAAAAAATGAAAATTATGCAGGTAATTGAGGCCAGAAAAGTCCCTTTTGTACCAACTAAAATAACAGAATATCAGAACCTGAAAGTGAAGTCGAAATCTATGCTTCAAATATTTTCAAAAGTCAAGTGTACTTTTTTGCTTCTTGGTAGTGGTAGAACTTTCTTTTTCAAATAAACACTCTGCAGAACACCAATATTTGAAACAGATAAAAATAAGCTAAGTTAATTGATAAAGATGCTGGGGTCCTGGATTCCCATCCTTTCAACTATCTCCTCAGCATATCTGATTCTGAGAAAGAAATTGGAAAACACTGCTCTGCACCAGCTCCACTGGTCCACCATGCCACACTTGGACCCCTGACTGCAGGGCCATCAACACCTCCAGTCGCTTCCTGGGAGCGGTGACAACGTACCTATTTCTTGGCCCAGTTGTGAGGACTTCAGAGATCCCGCTGATGAGACAACAGCACACCTGTGCCACGGCCCAGCCTTGGTCCTAATGTTCTCCCTGGGCAGGTAACCCTCCCATTCAGAGGTATTGAAGGGAAAATCTGTGGCTTCCACCATGGATACGTTTACATGGGCCCGGAGGTGGCAGCGCAGAGCCTCTGCACTGAACTTGACGCCTGGCCCCGGCCCCTTATAGGATACTTTATACTTGTTCATGCGAAGATAATTCTTCCGGATACTTTGCAGCCTGGGGACAAGGTTTTTGGATGAGCTGTCTTTGTTCCACACCTGGAAGGTGGGCTGCAGTTTGGCCTTGGATGGGACCCTGGGACTGAGGGTCTGGGTGAGCCGGTGGGGGAGCTGGGTACTGCTTGATGACATAGACCGGGAACCAGACCCCATGGACAGTTTTTTAAGGCTCTTGAGCACCTGGAATTCCTTGGTTTGCACTTTAAGGGAGCCATAGTAACTCCCTTTCTTTCTTTCCTTCCACACACAGATGACTGCAAACAGGAGAAAGACCAGGATACAGTAGCTGAATTTTTTCTTCAGGTTGGTGTGAAACATAATGAAAGCTGAGTGTAGCTCTGTTTTAAGCAGGGAAACAAATCTGCAAAAAGCAAGACAAGAGGGAAAAGTGATGTAAAGAACATTCAAATATGGCATACAGTGGGGCAACGGGCTGAGCAATTAATTTAAAGTGAGGAGATTTGAAATTCAGCCCTGGTCTACCTCCTACCAACTATGCAGCCTTGAGTAACTCTCAGAAAAATTCAGCCTTCATTCATGCTAAGAATTCCCTCGGACATTCCCTTCTTCCATCCTGAGCACCAAACACTTTCTGTTTCTTTCCGCCATTATTTTTGTATTCTGAATCTTAGTTTCTGGTTGTCTTCATCTAGCTCCCTCAAGAAGTTCCACTCTGAGCCCATGAGGTCAGGAGCCATATCTGACTCTTCATGCAGCTTCTAGAGCCTTGAACTCTCTGAGAAATGAAGGCACGCAGGCTTGGAAAACTAGGATGAAAAGGAAGAATGGGCTGGCCTGTCTACATCACAGAACCCAGACTCTCCAATCCTCAATCATTCAGAATAGTCAAAGAAAGGCCTCTGGTCATGGATGCTGCCCCGACTTATAATGCAATCCCCCAGGAGCAGTGACACCCAACTCCTGCATGACAATAAGACCAAGCTGGGCTTCTCAACATAACATTCAGTTTTGTGCTGTGCACTGCAAGAAAAGCACCCTTAAGATAGGAAGCAAGCTCATCTCGTGACAGAGACCAGGAAATCTTGGTAAGAGAGCAGCAGTGGCCAATTAAAGAAATGAAAAAAATAATTTATTAAGTACTCTAGGCGATGTTACTTTTATTTAATTTCCTGGCATAACCAGGGTCACTGTAATGCATGGCTCCAGGAAGCACCGTACACATCACAGGCTAATATGAAGGGTATCTCCTGAGCTGTGCAGATAGGCTCTGACCACCCCATCCATGAAGGTCTTATGATCTCCACTTTAGCATATGAGCAACCAGAAGCTCTGGGAGGCTAAAGGAGACATGCCCGAGATGACAGAGCTAAGGACTTGGCTGCCCTGAGATTCAGATCTTTGTGCACTTGATTCCACAATCCAAGGCCTTTCTATTCTATAGCACCATGAAAGTGCTGGGAAATGGACTGCATTAGCAAATAGAGCCTGAACAACGGTCCCCCTTATATCTGGGTAAAAACCTACTTTGTTCTCTCAGAATTTATTGTGTAACCAAATGAAAGACAGAAGTACTTTGAACTCAAACAAGATCTGTGTCTTTTGAAAAACATTCAGTTCTTTCCTCAATCACTGGATTTATTTATGTTAATGAGTCAAAGCAATACGCCCTGGGTTTTTACCCACCCACTAGGAGTCTGAAGGCCTTTCCCATGAAGCCTGCTTCTAAGGATTTGGCAAATAAGATAACAGAAGTACTGGACTGCACATTCATGAAACCTGAGTTCTCATCCCCATTCTTGGTGACCATAGGCAAGTGAATATCTCTGCCAAAGTCTCTGTGGAGGGATTGTCCCTGCCTAGCTCAGTCATGGAGTATGGAGAAGACCGAGCAAGAGGCTATGTCTATGGAATTGGTACTAGGCAAGCACAAAGCCAGGGTAGGTGCTCTGAACAGAGATGGGAGAGCAGTCCCCCCAAACAAAAGAGCCATGTGGGAGGCGATGTGGGCCAGGGAAGGTGGCAGAGTGGAGCACAGGCCACGACCCACCGGCCTGAGCAGGAGGCTGTCCATCCAAAGCTCTTCAATTAACAGACACCAAGATCACTCTTGGAATCCAAGGGCAGCACCAACCAAAGCCGTATTTCCTCCTGTTCCAGAACTTAGGAACCAGTGTCTCGGAGGAAGATGGGTTCCTAGCTTGGGTGGGTAGAATTTTGGAAGTAACAAAATGTACTTAGAGAAAGATAAATTCTGACATGAGATCATGAAGCAGGAAATGGAGGTCTTGTGACATCATCAGGAAACTGAAGAATTAAATTCCCACAGAATGGGGAAAACAACTAATTACAGGACCACATGACTCAAGAAGAACCTGATAAAGAGCAGCACGTGAGGAGGCCCTGCTGCATGATAGGCACTTCAGCTACAATATCTCATTGAATCACTGGAGGACTGAGTGATATTTTAGAAAAGGATGAAAAAGCCTTATGAGGGTTACAGGGTTTCCCCAAGGTCAACAGATTATCAATGCTAGAAACAAAATCTTAACCCAGTATGTGTGACTCTAGACGTTCATGGTTTTTGCACTAAAGAGAGAATCTGTGATTAGGAGCAGTGAAGATTTGGTGTTGGCCATCAGGACTCTGAAATCAGGTGCGGAGAGACAACTCAAACTGTCAGACCATGAAAGAAAAACCACCTTCATCATGAGCAGTGCACCAGCCATCAGGGTGGGCACTGCTTACCAGTCTGGGAGCCTTTCACATTAGTTAGTATATATAAGACCCCAAATAACCTTTCAGAGCACATTTTATGAGCTCCATTTGTAACTGAAAAAAGTTGAGATTTGGGACATACAAGGAATTTTCAAAGTTGCACAACTTATTTGGAAATGGTAGACTTTGAACTTGACTTTTCCACATAGGCGGGAAAGGAGACAACAGGGAGGGGCCTAATTCCCTGTCTCAGGAGCTGGAGCGAGTGATGGATTTTCCTGGATTCCCAGGAACAAAGAGTTCCCACACACATCCAGGCCCAAGCACAGTCCTGCAGCTCTCAGAAGGCCTGAGCCTTGGGGATCTGTGCCAGTCACAGCCTGGGAGTGAACATCTGAACCTGACACCAGGGCTCTTGTGGTCTCCATCACAACCTTTGTGTGAGGCTCCACATCTGGCAGCTGGATGGAGTCTCAGGTTGTCTCAGGTTGCAGGCATGGGGAGCTTTGAGACCCTCTCTCACCTCTCAAGAGGTTCTAACAAGACAGAGAAAGGAAGAGGCTTCATCTAAACAGCCCACCACTGGGGCAAAGAATAGCAAACTTGTCTCCACAAATCCTTTGAATTTTCTTATCACACTGGCAGATTTTCTTAAGCCTCCTGCCATCTGCACTACTGCATTCTCTGCCCTTGACCTTCAGTGAAGGTCACCTGCATTTCATCGCTATCCCTGAACCCTGCTGCTGCAACCAGTGCTTTTTAATGCTTGCTTTTCAGGCCAACTCTGCTGCTAGAGAGGAAGACTTCTCCTGGCATCATGTATGAACTACAGGACCCAGCAGACTTCCTCAAGCAGAATGGATGCTCAAAAAAGAATTATTGAATCGATGTGACTGTATCAGTTAGTCTTTACCATACCATGAGTCTTCTAGAAGAATACAGTAACAGCTCATCATCAACCACAGAGACCAAGCCTATGCTGGACCAGCAGGGAGAAAACCTCTGTCAGAGTAAGGAATGCTGTCTTGATCTAGACATCCAGGCATGTTCGGTATCAAATGCAGTACTTGGCACATAGTAGGTGCTCATAAAAGACCAAGTGAATGATAGACTAACTCAAATCCTACTTATAGCTTATAGAAATGGGCAAGCCATCTACCCACCCATCCCCTCACTCTCCTCCCGGCCCAAAAGAGAATAAAGATAATAAAGAGAAGAATAAAGAGAATGAAGGAAGGAAAACCAGCAGAGCTGCAATCAGGTACTGAGATGCTGAGACTCCTTGCCAGCTCCATTTCTATTGGGGCATGAACCCCTTTGCTAGCCCACACCCGGATGTATTCCTTACCTGCTTCTGGCTAATCCCCCTGGGGCTGCAGGCCTCCCAGATCCTCAGGAACCAGCACTACTCTCCATGGACGGGAGGTTTGCTTTATTGTGTCTGGAGGCCAAGGCCCATTTTTCTCAGGGTGATTAAAAAACATCTGCAAAGGCAAAAAAAAAAAGTAAGAGCAGTTTCTAGCAGAGTGGGTTAAACATTAACGACACTTATGGGGCTCTCGGCCCAAAGGCTCAGAAAAGAGTGAAGAGCTTATTATACATGCAATGATGTGGCTCATCACACTGAGTGCCCAGTGACCAGGGTAGAAACCCTAGAAATAGACCCACGAGAGATAGGAGTGTCCTAGAAAAATCAAGTGGGGACCCCAACCCACCTGGGCAGAAGGGGTGACTGATCTCTGCTTAGGAATAAGCAGCAAGTAGTCTCAAAATGAACTCAAGATTTTCAAAAAATTATTTCCAAAAGATATTTAGTGATACATGAAAGTTCAATCAGCATGTTTTTAACTGAAAAGATAGGCTCCAAAACTAAGAATATTATCCAAATTCAAACATAATTTTAAAAATATACATGTATGTGTAAAAGAGAAAGTAGTGCAAAAAGCACATCCAAAATGGTAGACTATTTCCATTTTTTATAATTTTATGTATATCACAAACTTTCTAAACTGTGCATCTATTACTCTTTGAGATAAAAATATGTAAAGATATAATTCTAAAAATCTTAAAAATATATTTGTCAGCTCTTTTTGATGCAATATAAAAAAATAGCAAAGGGAAAGTTTAACAGATTCAACTGCAAGGAAATTCCAATTTCTACACCATGAAAAATACTATAACTGCAATAAAAAAGGAAAACAAGAGTCAAAGTACCCAACAGGGTTAATACAGTAAAAGCCTCTCAAAATAAAGACGCAGTTAACACAAAGGGCAAATCACAAAATAAAAAGGATAATTAACAAGCATATGACATTATGGTTAGTTTTGAGAAGACCTCAAAGGAGGTTCTAGTTTATACTAGATACTAGTTTACCAAATTTATATTGGTCAGTATTCTTCAAAATGTTCATACTCATAGCTGGACAGATGATAATGAAATCTGTAAACATTTGAAGGAGAACTGCAAATTAGTTTAACCTTTCTAGAAAGTATTTGAGTAATGGAACTAAGAGCTTGCATCTATTGACCAGGTTACCGTACATCTAGGAAATCAGATTGCAAAAATAATTCAACAGAAAAATAAGATTATATATTTCAGCTTTTTCATGCATAAAATGATTCCCTACCTTACATAGTTGTGCTGAAGATTGACAGAGACTGAGATAAGAATGTGAATTCTATAAAGCAATATACGTGTTTTAAAAAGAAAGTTTTTTAAATTTAAGCTAATGGTAAAAATCTGTGAACAACTAAACTTCTAGCAACAGCTAAAGTATGGTACATCAACCTGAAAGAGTATAAACAATTGTGTGTGAACTGATGTAGTCATGGAGAAGAAAATATTTAATATATTACAATGAAGAAAGCAAAATAGTTATCTGTGTATACATTGTTGCAACTAAAAGTTAGCTGTGCCCAAGTAACTAGAAAAAATAAAATGAAAGATTAGTTTTCACCATATCACTTTGACCTCACCGTCCTTCTTATGTTAGCTGAATAAACAGGGCAGGCTATTGGGGACAATAAAGAAAATACATTTCAACTCTGTGTATCAACTTGATGCACAAAATCGGGCCAACTTGAAGGCTGTCCTAGGAGATTCAACATTAAGAAGAAGCAATATTAATATAACCGCATGAGCCAGGAGAAAATCTTCCTTTAAAGATGAGGTTCAGGTTGGGAGAACTTCAGGTTTTCACGGCCAAGTGCCCAGTATGTGGGCCCTGGGCAGGACTGACAGGTCAGAAGCAAGATGGGTCCTTTGTCAAAAAATTCAGTGCTCTCCTTAACAATTTAGAATAGAACTGGTGTTGGGGGCAAGCTCCCAGGAGAATCAAGAAATGATTCTGAGAGCTCTCGTTCCATGGCATGTTTCCTCTATGGCATCGGGGTTTGTACAGGCATTTGTATTATTAATTGATTGCTGTCTGTCTCCTTCCACCAGTATTTTAAGTTCTGTAAGTAGGAACCTTGTCAGCCTTCTTCACTAATGTCACCCGTGAATGTCTCCAGATACTGGAGCACATAACAGGTGCTCAGTAAGGTTCTGCTGTATGAAGCAGCTCTTTTCAGAGCTCTGCTTATTTCAGGCATCATTGATGGAAGAGGCTCTTTTTTAGCTCCCTAGAGAGAAGTCATATGACCCCTGGATGACACCGCTTGCCTGTGGATGATGATTCGCTCCCATCTCCACATGCTGGGATGACAGACTTCCATTTGAGTTCTACCCACAGACATCAGAAGAGTACATCAACCCAAGCTCTTTCTTTCTCGTGTCAACTGCACCTGCTCAGAAAGACTTGCCCTCTAAGAAGATAAAAATCACAACCACACTTGATTTCCAAAAAATCAGCTGGTTAAAATAAACATGGTGCAACTGTCTACTAGATCTATTATAGGTAATGAGAGCCTCCCAAAAATTGGTACTGCTGCTGGAAAAAGCAGCACTCATGACCTTGAGCCAGCTACAGAAGTGATGATAGAACCCTCAACCCTAGTAGACAAACTAGCAATCACGATGACAGCTACCATGCTATGTGCTCATACCAATTATAGCTTAGGGGTAAGAGTACAAGCTTTGGCATGATACAAAATCAACACACAAAAATCAATAGAGCTCCATACACCAATAATGAACCTATAAGAAAGGAATTAGGAAAACAATACCTAACATTCACAGTAGCTTCAAGAAAATTTAAATACTGTTCATAGGAATTAGCCTAACAAAGGAAGTGAAAGACCTCTGTAATGAAAGCTATAGTACTCTAAAAAAGATTAAAGAGAACATCAGAAAATGGAAACATATCCCCTGCTCCTGGATAGGCAGAACCAATATTGTCAAAATGGTCACACTATCAAAACTGATGTATAGATTTAATGCTGTCTCAATCAAAATACCAACATCGTTCCTGACAGAACTAGAAGAAACAATACTAAAATTCATGTGGACTCAGAAGAGACCCAGAATAGCAAAAATAATTCTGGGTAACAAGAGCAAAGCAGGAGGCACTAAATTCCTGGAATTCAAGTTATATTTAAAAAACTACAGTGATTAAAAACAGCATGGTACTGGCACAGAAACACAAATGAGGACCAATAAGCAGAAGAGAAGCTGCAGAAACAGAAACCCCAGGCACATTCCGTCATCTGATCTTTGAAAAGGAGACCAAAAACATATGCTAGAGGAAAGATATCCTCTTCAGCGAATGATGCTGGAAAAACTGGTCACAAAAATCCAGAACATTGAATCCAGACCAATAGCACTTAAACATGCACTGAAACATAATCAATATGGATCAAGGATCTAAATATTAAAAAAGAAACACTGAATGGTGAGATACATAAAATTCTTGAAGATACAGGTATAGTCAAGGACTTTCTGAGTAGAACCCCAATTGCACAAGGAATAATATCAAGAATCAACAAAAAAGATTATACCAAATTGAAAAGATTCAGCAAGCACAGCAAAGAAAGTAGAGTGAAGAGACAACCTACAAAATGGGAAAAAAATTTGCCAGCTATCCCTCAGACAGAGGACTAATATCACAATACATGAAAACTCAACAAACTAGACCCCCAAAATAAAAGATTCAATTAAAAAACGGGCAACCGAAATGAACAGACGCTTCTCAGAAGAAGCACAAATGGCCTATAAATTCAGGAAAAAGTGTTCAACATCTCTGGCCATCAGAGAAATGCAAATTTAAAAAAACACTGAGCTTCTATCTTAAATCTAGAAAGAATGGCTATCATCAATAACTCAAATAATAACAGGTGCTGATGAGGATGCAGGAAGAAAAGAATCCTTCAGCATGGTTAGTGGGAGTGTAAACTTGTACAACCATAGTGGAAATCAATACAGAAATTCCTTAAAAAACTAAAAATAGAAATTCCACTTGACCATATTCTCCTTCTACGTCCTGTCCCAAAGAGTTAAGATATTGTGTTACAGTGATACAATATGTGCACACCCATGTTTACAGCTGCACAACTCACAATAGCTAAATCTTGGAAGCAGCCTATGTGTCCATCAACAGATGAGAAGATAAAGAAAATGCGATTTTTATACACAATGGAGTACTACTCTGCCAGAAAGATAAATTTGAGTCATTTGTAGGAAAATGGATGCACCTTGAGACAATAATGTCTTAACAATAATGTTAAGTATAACATTAAGTATAACATTATTGATTAATAAATTAATAACACTGATTAATAAGTCAGACACACAAGCTTAAATATCACTACCTCAAGCTACATTACCCACATTTATGACCATATGTCTTGTTTTCTTAGATGAACTGGCTGTGTCCAATCTTGCAATGACCAACACTTATCCACTAGATCCTATACATTCTTCTCTTATGGATCCTATACATTCTTCTTACTTATGGGAACTGTTTCATGAAATCTCCCCCTTTTTCCATCTGCATCATAGGTATCTCTTTCTCAAAGGTCATTTCTACCAGAAAACTAAAAACAAAACACCTCTCATGATTCAGGCACCTTCCTCATCAGCCTCAGCATCGCTAACAATGAGACACCGACATCGTCTGTACCTTCTGATACGAGGCAACACGAAGCAGACAGCACCACCGAGGAGAAATCTTGCCTCAGATGGACATACTCAAGTCTTCACACCCAATTCCAGTTTTTAGGAAACACAAAAGAAAGAAGAACAAATAAGATGACACAATAGGGAAGTTATCAGACAAATTCAGAAAATAGGACTTTCTAGAGGACAATCAATTGGCTTCATGAACAAATCAAGGGGCATGAAAAACAAATAGTTTAAACGACATAACAATAGCATGAGATACAGACCTTGCTTGAACCTTAATTGGAACAAAACATTTTTGGAGATAAAGAGAATTGAATATACACTGGGTGTTATACAATATAATTAATCATAGTTAATTTCATTACGTATAATAATAGTACTATGGTTATGTAAAAAAAAAATTGTAAGACATGAAATTTACTT